AAATGTATCCCAGTCAGAGGCCACATGTAGATACTCCAAGCTCTAGACTAAAGTAATTTACTTCCCATATATAAGTGTGTTTTGTGTCTTAATATTTTGTCAGTGCCCAAATTGCATGGCTTATGATATTCTTGCATATTTCTTTAAATAAAGACTGTACCAAGATAGTAAGTCTAGTGTCTTCTTGTGTTATACAAGAAGTCAGGCTGGGATTATTTAATTGTCCTTTTTGGCCTTAGTATACATGAAGTACGCAAGTATAATTACGTGAAGCATGCAGCAGGAGTTCCCTCAAATACACATAATTTTAGAATTAGACAAGTAATCAAATTATAAGCTTTATATTATTATTTGTCCTGATTGTGATGTGTAAATTTTTTAGTTAATATTTGTATGTGTTGATGCCAGAAAATAGAGTTTATGCCTTCTTATTTTTTTCCCCACATTCAAAGCGCTACTTGCAGCTCATGCAACATAACATTTTGTATGTTTACGTTGCAGTTTTGTTAAATGATAAACAGTTCACCGAAGGTAAACACAAAGTAGTGGCTACACTATTTGCTTTAGTAAGCTTATAATGATACTTTGTGATATTCCTGCAGGAAGCAGATAATGAGTGAGCTGCTGGGTGCCTGAGCTTCCCTGGGATGCTGGCAGCAGCATCACTCTGTGCCAGTTTCCTGATGCTGCCATGGGGAACCATTTGTCCTAATGCTTTTTTTGGCACCAACAGCTGTTCTTAGTGTGGCCAAACCAACTATACCCAATATGGTCACTCTTCTTGGCTGAACACTTGGACCAGATTTCAACCAATGAGAAGGTTAAAATTAATCTCTACCACTCTACTAACAAAGAAAATAGAAATGCTTCCACTGACCATAATGAGAGTTACATTGGAACTCTATGCCCTTGATAAAGAGTCCTCATGAACTCAAGTACTTGAAATAAAGCTAAATGGCAAGCAAATACTGTGCACGCTTTGAAACTAGCAATGATCACATATTCTCTATAGAGATTGTAGTGGTCACGCAAGCAAGTTACTGTAGAAACATACTGGAAATCAAAAGGTGTTTTTAATGACTGAACTGTGTGCTCTATGTGCCCTGTGACAAAGCTACACGATGTATTGACCACAAAACAAAGCTTCTTCATTTAAGAGGAATATTGCACACTATTCAGAGTTGAATTTGCTTGTAGTAACAGTTCATTTTAAAAATATACTCTGCTTTACCCACAGTATTGTTCAAGTTAATGCTACTCACTTCGAGATTTAAGTATTTTGTATGTCCCTTCATAAAATTAGAACATTAGCAGAGTTAGTTCTTCGATGGAGCCTGCTGGCATGGTGTACAGAAAAGCTGATTGCACAGTCTGTGGCACTTGTCTATACAAGAATCTATCCAAGCCTAACAGTGCAACAAAATGTCAGGATTGTTGAGCAGTGGTAGAGTCCAAAAGATCGCAAAAAGAAAATATTTATTGTACAGTATCCAATTTGTCTATTATAGCTAAAAGCACACTGACTTTGGATAAAGCCATCTCACATAAGGGAGTATTCATCTCCCTTTCACACGTGCATCCTTCAACACTGCAGTTTGAATTATACTTTTGTTTCTGAAGAGGATGAAATAGAACAATACACAATGGCAGCTCAAACCAGTGTGTTTTGAATACATAGAATCAACAGTTTTCATACAATGAGTTCTAAATATTCACACCAGAATTTTTACATTTTTATATTTTATACTAGGAATATAAACTTGTACTTCAGCCAGTGCTCGTGACACTTGTTTTTCTTCCCTCTTCACTGGCTGATAAACTAGTCAGAGGCTTAATGTGAATCACTTGTCTTGTGATAACAATGCAGAACTCTTACTGCTTCAGATGCACCAAACAGAAAGACATCTAGTACTTTCCACAACGCATGCAATCCATTCTACAGTGTATCTTTTGATAGCATCTCCTATCCTATTCTAATAGCAGTGAAGGATATCATAGGTAGATGCACCTGGGTGAAATGAACAGAAAGTGCATAAATGCTGTGTTGTTCAATCTAGACATAGCTAAATTCTGATTACTTGTATTCACCCTTGAATACCTCACTGATTACTACCATAAACCTGAAGTAGTGAGCAAGTACTATATATAAGGCTGCCCTCTCAACGCTTTGTCCTATTAAGGTTTGTTAGCAGCATTCAGTAAAGACAGGGCAGAAGGAGCATGGGAACTACCAATGATGTCAAATAGTTGTGGTCCAAGGAACACAATATCTCTATGAATCAAAACATGGGAGAAAGAAACAAATAGCAAGTAAACAAAAAAATTGCTGGAACAAAAATAATACTTATCCTCACTATTTAAGTTTCTAATTGACAAAATCAGTTCAAGACATATGATTATATTTCAAATAATTTGTGTATCCAGAATCAATGATCTTGAGAAAATAAGTAATGAGAGTGATAGTAATACAGAATTTTAATGAAAATATATCAACCATTGCTCATCAAATTTCGTAAGATCTTGTACAAGAGTATGAAAAACATCCAAGGAGGGATTTTAAAACTGGAAATACCTACTTCAGAAAGCAAATAGGATTTGTTTTATTGAATATGCTGTGGAAAAAACTTCAGAGATAAATGGCTAACTAATAATGTTTCAAAATTCACAATTAACATTAAGAATCTAGATTAAGTAATGTGTTCCTCTTTGTGTTGTAATTTAAGATCAGAAAGCCATTACTGAAGCCCCAAGCTAGCTAATTCAATTCAGGCAAAAACACTTCTCACATAACATATGTTTAATTTGTTGTATCAATTTCAAAACTGCATTGTGAAAACAAAGAAACTAGGAAGGTCTGAAGAAAGAATTGAAAGCTGTGGGGAAAAAAAAGTGCATTAGCTACAGGGACACACAGAATTAGTAAATACAAAAAACATTTTGGAAAGCTACAGAGTTAGAACTAGCTTATAAGTGTTACATTAAGATGAAAGCTAGGCTCATATTAACTACATATTTGCCTGCTACATTGTTTGTTCACTTTCACCTTGTACAATCAATAAATGCACAGATGTTAGAGCTATGAAGTATATCATATCTTGATATCCAAGTATATTTTGGCTACATAGCTATTACACCAAAGCAGAAAAGAGAGGATGCTTACCCATATCCAGGGCTCACTTATAAAACTCCAGCAGAGTGTATCTTCCAAAAGAGATCATTCCCTGCTACTAGTCAGCTCTTAAATGGGTCTAAGGAGAGGTGGAGCCAGGCTCCACCCCTTCCGGCAGCACAGGTGAATTGCCTGCCTCAGGTGATCAATCAGAGGTTCAGGCCATGATTCAGCAGTTCCCATACTCACCTCAAGCACAAAGTTAGCAGAAGATTTTGAATTAGGTTATTTAGTCCTGTGTGTAAATTCCTCTGTCTAGGTTTTCTAACTACAGGATTCTCAATTGATGACTACTTGTATATGAAAAGAGCTTGTGTATACACATAATCCTGGTACTTACTGTGATCTTAGTAGCACATACATAGTGCTGTTTGTTGCAGTACTCGTTGCCTGCACGGTTTGAAGCTGAAAGCTGAACATCTGCTTGTGTGCTTTGGTGAGGATGAGGAGAGATTGAAATTCTGCATGGCACATCTGCTAGCCTTATCTATAGACTGAGATCTGAGTGTTTAAGTAATGAGATCCTTTTCCCTTTATTAAAGGAGGTAGACTTGAATTCTTGAACTCCGTTGCAATTGAAAAGTAGCATTTCAGAATTGGCTCTGAAATGGCTCACTTTTGTATCCGTGTGCCTGTGTTTAAAAGATCTGCCCCACATGGCAGCGGTTGCAGTGCTGTGCTGTGGACAAAAGGAGTGCCAGGCTGTGTGTCCACCATCCAGAGCTGCTGGCTGCTAGCACAAACTGAGACAAGCGTCAGGGGAGTGAACATGGCCTGCGCCTCAGTGGTGCCATGTCTCAGTACCACAGCTCACAGCAATATTTCTCTAGGTCCAGATCTAGCACCGCGCCCTGTCCAGTTGCTGTATCCAGGCACAAAGGTTGCAGATTCACAGTTTAAGACAACATACATATACAAACCTCATCCTTCAGCCCATCAGCTGGGTTCTCTTAGGCCTTACAAAGGATTTTGTGCCTTTGTCAGATGTCTGCCCCAGCCTCTCGCATACCCTCAGGGTGATCCTGGGACATGCCAGGCTGCAGAGCTCCTCCAGCTCCTCCCTCCAGCTGTGTCAGCAGCCGACCTCTGGGCTGACACCCTCGGGGCAAGGCCCATCCACTCATCCTCTCACCAAATAATCTCGTAGCTTAGAGTGTTTTTTAAGACCCCCGGTATTTTCTGTTGCTGCCATTTGGGTGGGTAATTGCTTGACACTGATGAAGCTGCATCTTGAGTACTGTATTCATTTTGGGGTCCTTCACTTCAAGGAAGACATCAAGGCCCTGAAGCGTGTCCAGAGAAGGACAGCGAAGCTGGTGTGGGATCTGGAGCATAAATCTCATGAAGAATGGCTGAGGGAACTGGGATTGCTCAGTCTGGAGAACAGAAGGCTCAGGGGAAACCTCATTGCTGTCTACATTCACCTGAAAGGAGGTAACAGTGATAGGATGAGAGGTAATGACCTTAAGTTGCACCGGGGAGGTTCAGGTTGGATATTAGGAAAAATGTCCAAAGGAGTGTTGAGGTACTGGAACCAGACGCCCAGGGAAGTGGTGGACTCACCGTCCCTAGAAGCGTAGAAGAGCTTGCAGACGCGGTGATGATTGGTTGACAGCCGGCCTAGGTGATCTTAGCCGTCTTTCCCAGCCTTAGCGATGGCTCTATGACAGCTCCCAGCTGGGGGCCCGCACGGAGCTGCCTCGGCGGCGCTCGGCGAGGGGCAGCGGGGCCGCCCCCTCCGAGGCCGTTCCGCCGTCCCGCCCGCGGGCGTGCCCCGGGAGCCCCGCGGGGGCGGAGGGAGGAGCGCGCGGCGCCATGTGAGCGGCGGGCGGCGGGCAGCGGCCCTCGAGGAAGACGGATGGGGTGAGAGACAGCGCGAGGTCCAGCTGTCAGCGCGGCCTCAGCCCCGCCGCGGAGGGAGCCCCTCCTTCCCGCGGCTGTGCGCTCCTTGCCCGCGGGGAACCATGGCGTCCAGCGAGGAGGACGGGAGCGGCAACGGCTCCTTGGAGGAGAAGGAGAACGGCAAGAAGAGGAGCCTGGGCGCCCTGGCCACGGCCTGGCTCATCTTCTACAACATCGCCATGACCGCGGGGTGAGCGGGCGGCGGGCGGGCGGCGGCGCGGCGCCTCGGGCGGGCGCGGAGCGGCGGGGCCGGGGCAGCTCGGCCCGGGGACCGGGCGGCAGCGATCGCGGGGCGGCGGGGACGCGGCCCCGGGGCGGCGGGGAGCCGCGGCGAGCGGGGCGAGCCCTCGCCTGCCCGGCATTGCCTAATACGGTGCAGCGTTACCAGCAGCGAGCGCGTCATCCCGGAGCCCGCGGCGGAGGTTAAGTATAGCCGGGCCAGGAATGCCGGCGGGGGTGCCGCGCGGGCTGCGCCGCGGAGCCTGCTCCTTCCACCGCCAACCGCCCTCGGGCCGCCCGGCGCCCCCTGGGGCGTTCCGAGCTCCCGGCGCTGCTGCCGGGGCTGTCTCGGTGCCGGGGGGGCGCCGGGGCTCGGCCGGGTTGGCGGCGTGCGCGCCGGAGCCGTGCGGGGCAGAAAGCCGACGGCGGGGCCGCTCGTACGGCACGCAGCTCCTGCTGTCATTGCGGCGGTGTGAGGCGATCCGGGTTGGGCTGCGGGCGCCCGTGGGCTCGTGTGGAGTGTTCGGTACTGCCGTGCTGAGAGGAATGGCTGTTTGTATTGGGTGAAGGATGATGCGAGCGTTCGGGTTTGTACCTTTAGTGCCTGAGGCAGGTATTTCCACTTCTGAAACTTTGTTCCACTACTGTTGCGTGTCACGTGTGTGCCAAAAAACCCTCCGTTGATTTCCGACGGCAAGAGGCAGAGCTCGTGTGGCTTTTATATGTACGTAGAAGATCACTGAACACTTAGCTTTGGGGTGAGCTGCTGATTCTGTCTCTCCTCCTTCATCTTCCCCCCGCTTCCCTCCGTCCCCCCCCAAGGGATTTAGACTTGCTCACCTGCGCAGTTTGTGTGAAAGCAGAGTAGTAAGAGAGAGGAACACATTCTTCTAATTTTTTCAGACAGGTTACAGTTTAAGTGAAAAATAAAATTTTGAAGGAGAGAAACGTTTCACTGGGGCACCATCTGTAAACGAGAACAGTGCAGTTCTCCAAAAAGTTTAGAATAGTGAAGTGTTTCTAGAATTGTAACTGCCTGTCTGATATAGAAGCGTGTGTTAACAACCAACCTAGTGCAGGATTGCATTTTATCTTTCTTTCTAATGAAGATTAGAGGAATGCATTCAGAGATAAAAATGATACGTCGGTACCTGGCTCTACTGAAAGTCCCAACTGAAAATTTTACCTTTGTTACACTAATTCTGTTACACCACCTGCTGATTTACAATATTCACTACTATGGCTTTCCTGAAATCCAAAATCAAAGCCACTGAAAGCTAAATGAAATAATTGTCAGAGATTCCAAATCTCCCAGTAATTATTTAAGACAAACTTATTTTCAGTCTTTGTATCTGAGTGTAGCCCAAGACTGCTCTCTGCAGACCTTTTGTGACAGAGGAAAGTGAGGAAAGTGTCTGCTTAGATGAGATGTAACGTGACTTCTCAAGCTGGTGCTGTCACCACCCATCCTGCCAGCTGGATAGAAACTCGCTGTCACCTTCCCCTTGTCACACACCTCATCGTAAAATGGCAGCCTGGGCAGTCCCTGGGAAGGACTGGCAGTGAGATTCCAGTAATTCCTCATCTGGCCGTGATGGGAGACAACCTGAAATTAGTACATTCAGATTTAAAATCCGAGTAATTTTTTACGGCATAAATATTGTAGCTCTGGCATATCGGATTAAATGAGATTAAAGCAGAAGTGGTGAAGAAAGGAAATCATTCCTACAGTATGGGGAAGCCTGGCTGTATATAGATTTGGCATGCTATCATGCACTGTTGGACTGGACAAAGCAAAGGACAGTGCAGTAGTAGGCACTGTGTGCGCCAGCTGTCATGGGACTGATGCTGAAGTGTGTACCATTCAAGGGGAACACAGAGCTGTTACAGCATAATGTGTCCAATCAGATAATCATCTTTCCTGCTACCTGCTTATCGAGTTTAGCCAGTGTCTTATTTATAGGAAGAGTATAAGAGCATAAGGGAGAGTATAAGAGTATAAGGGAAAGAGTTAAAATTTTATCTCAGTGTTTTTGTAAATGTTTTCCTGAATATTTATATGTTCACCAAATCTGCGTCAGAATATTTCTCAGACTCCACTACTGTTTCTCTTGGGCCTTCCTTAGCCACAGTTCATGTTGCTGTACAGCTTTGCTTGCAATTGTTCTATGGAGGATAAGAGAACTGAATGATTGTTCCCGACTATCCTCAGACAAGAAGTTAAATTGATGTTATTGCAATTTATGTATTTTCATTTTTAACCCTGAAAATATCACTTGTAGTTCTGGCTATGCCTTTAAGTCAATTAAAGACTTTTTATCCTTAGCCTTTGTGGATTTAAACCTGAAGTTTCAAGGATCTCTAGTGTGATATTTGTAAGAATGTGTAACTCTGGATTAGTAACAGAACATATGGTACATTGTTTGGAAAAAGTTAATTATATAAACATGGATTAATTATGTGGAAGCAACTGCGCGTACCTTGGGTTGTTGCTCTAGATCTGAGAGGAGAAGTGGGAGTCATAACCACTGTGGTTGTGAAATGGGGTTTTTAAATCCATTTTCATTTGAGATCTCAGTTTGAAATTTATATCACATATTTATTTCACTTTAATTAAAGATACCTTACTGCATTTATACTGGAAGGATGATCCATCAGTTGGTACCTTACTGATTCCTTAAACAAAAATTTGGAAAAATTATCCGACACCTTCAAATGTATTAGTTTAATCATCCCTGGAAGCCAGGAGCACAGAGCATGGGTCTTTCAACACATCAGAATCTGCTTTTCCGAGGTGACTTCTCAGTCAACCTGTGAGTTGTGGGACAGAAGCACGGTGGTCACTTGTCAGTTCTGAAACTGAAGTGGTAAGGGGTAACGAAGAATGTGAAAACAGTGTGCACAGGTGACAGTCTTTTGTGTGTGCAAACTTGAGACCCAAAATCTGAGTTCAAATAACAGTAATCCACAGTAAAGATGTGTGAGGATTTAGTAGTAGAAAATATATAGTCACTTCTAGTAAAAAGTCTGTTGGGCCCCTGGGTTAAGTAATTCAAGTTAATCCTCTGAAGGTAAACAAATCCTTCTCTATCCTTTTCCAGGTTAAGAGATTAAGAAGTTTAATGTTGATATAACATTTCATAATATTTAGGTCTAAGGATATTTTTAATAATCTCCTAAGAACACCAACAAGTGAAGACGCAAAGGTATTCAATAAGGAAATATTGCACTAAATTATTTATATTAGATGGAAAGCTTTAGAATTTTTACTTGAAAGGTATCCATTCTCTTTCTTTTGTAGGTGGTTGGTATTGGGTATTGCCATGGCACGATTTTATATCCAGAGAGGAACACACAGAGGTTTATTCAGAAGCGTGCAAAAGATACTTAAATTTTTCCAGACATTCGCTTTGCTTGAGGTAAATTTCAAACATCAGTTTATTTTACTGGATTCTGCACATCATAGGCAAATACATTATTACTCTGAATTCAATATTGAAATATTATATGAGTCCTAAAAGATGTTTTATCTTTATTATTTGATGGGTTTTTTTTTTTGTTTGTTTGTTTGTTTGTTTTTTTTGTGAGAGCAAGGAGATGTGCTCATTTATTTCAACAACTTTTATGAAAAAGCTTAATTGTAATATTGGTTTTAAATCAGATGTTCCCTGGGAACTTCTTTGCTTCTGCTTATTCCCAGACTGGATTGGCATGTCCTGTGTAACTCCTTACAACAGGGTCTGTACAAGTTGTTCACAGCATTTTTGAAGTAGCTTGACTTGGGCCAATTATGCACTTGTGGTCTCAATTTATGGTACATCTACAGAATTAAGCCACTGGGTATATTGAGCAGTTATGATTCTTTTCCAGGCACAGCAGAGAGCTCTTATCTACATTTTGGCTCTTTTTCTCAATCTGCCCATAACATCTGTCGTTCAAATAGCAATTTAAAACCACACAGCCAGCTGTCATAGGCTTTTATGCTATTAAACTTCAACAATAATAATTCCACTTGAATCCATGACAATAATGAAAAGCACTCTGTTTGCTAAACATCACTGACCAGAAAATAAATCTGAAGATTTGTAGCTATAATCAGTGAAAAGATAATAATTAATTAATCCATAATGAATACAGAAGATTGTAAAATTGCTATGCATTTTGCATGCTTTGTATGACTCCTCCCACATTGTTCTGTAAAATTGTTATTTGGGTGAGGTAATGGGAGTTTACTAGTTGAAAAAATAAACACTTTGTAAGTACCTAAATACTCAACATACAAAACCAGGAGAATAAGTCTCGCATTCACAGTGTTTACACTGAACTTATCACAGCAGTGGTTACTGGTGCTTTTGTGTGAATTTATGTGTAACGTGAAATTTTAGTTGGAGAAAAAAAAAAAAAAAGTAAGAATTAAACTTGAATTTATATAAATATATAAAAGCCCGTGTTTGTAGTACAGATAGTTACACACTGTAAATCAGTAACCTTTAACTTATTTCTGTTTACAGGTAGTCCACTGTGCAGTTGGTGAGTTCTTCCTTTAGTTTCTCCTGAGCCAAATGAAACATCAGTTGTGTAGCAGAGATAACATGTTTCTCTTTTCAAGGAATAGTTCACACATCTGTGCTTGTGACTGGGGTCCAAGTGAGTTCAAGAATCTTCATGGTGTGGTTCATTGCGCATAGTATAAAACAGGTAAGTGCATGAGCAGATTGTTTTGAGTTTTTACTCAGGAGTTATTAATACAGTTCTCTTTTCACCAGGGAGACAAATTACAGAGAATGCTTATAGACTTGAGTACAGTATAGAAGCTGGAGTTACAGGACTCAATTCATGTGTTTCTTCCCAGGAGGGGGGTCTGGGTTTTAGCTGTTAAACAGCCCTGTCTGTAGCATCGTGCCGGCTGCATAAGTGCCATCAATGACCAGTGCTTTTGTTCACCTGCAAACATGCCATCGTGTCACATGTTGTCTTTCAAGAATGTAATTTATCACTTTCTGAATGTATCTAAATGAAAACATGACTTAAATTGAATTAAAGTGAATATACATGGTTGTAGTTTTGCAATTTGTTTTAGGAACCTTCCCAAGATTTTAATGTAATGTAATGTAATATCAGTATTTGATAGCCTGCATACTGCATTGTTTCCATTAAAAATCTATCAAGTTTTTCAGCGTGCCAGAGGCACACTTAAAGTCCTGAATAAATGTCAGTGATTTATTTGCCTGGCTGTAGGTGGTTATTGTAAATCTAGTGATTTGTTAGCAGAGTGAAACAAGCAGACTACATACAGCTAGAAGTAGGATATGCATTCTGCTTTCTGTGAAGGGTATGGAAGAATTCAGAGGGAGATTTTGAGTTTGTACTCCTGTATTTCTTTAAATTTAAAAAGCTGAGCCATTAAACTGTCTCACCAGCAGATGGCACATGCCTGTCTGCCAGTGAGATACTGTAATTACTGCCTCGGTTGTCAAATCCCTTAATTTCAGTTCTCTACACTTCATTTTTTCCTTTACTATTGCTTTTTTTTTTTTTTTCCCCAAACACAAAATATACCTTTCTGAGTTGGTTTTTTTTTTGTTGTTGTTTTGTTTTTTGTTTTCTGTTTAAGTTAAGCTTTTTCAGTACTTTCATTTTTTTTCTTAAGGAAAAAGTATCAACTATTAACTATTTTTTTATATTGATTTCATGAATGCTGGAATACAGTGCTGCTTTTTTCCAATTTTTATCATTTGCAGTGCAGTAGTAATCTTTAGCATATCCTGTCATTTCTCTTGTCTCCTCAGTCTTCAGTACAGTTGGTCAAGCTGTGTCCAAGAAAACTACATCTAAATGTATGTCTGATTGCATTTCACGCTGTTACTGCTTAGCACACATGACTGTTCAGGGTCATGCTAGGTGGTGAGAGGCATGGTAGTGATAATAGCCAGACCCAGACCTCTGTACTTGACTGGAGATTTGCAAGGCAACAAATAGGAATTCTCTGCATATTTATTTAAAGCACTTCTGGTCAGATTCAGTGCTGTGGCATGAATCCAAGTTTGGGTTATCAATGTTTGTTTGTAATCACATGAGGTTAAGAACAACCTAATTCTGTCTTTTCCCTTGCTTATCTGTTTGTGGTTGCTGTTTGTTTGTGAGTTTGGAGATATTCTTTTATCTCCTTTCTATTTTGTGGATGTTTGTGAGATCCTTTTACTGAAGGTGCGTCTTTGACTGACACGTTGAGGTGCAATTTTATGAGATGATCACTTACATCTTTATGATGTATTAAACGCTGTCACCATGTAGTATCTTCATTTTTTTTTTTTTGTCCTTTTAACAAAATTACATTATTTTATTTTATTTCAAGACATCTCGGGAGCTTTTCAACCTTCAGGCATGGAATTGTATTACAAAATTCCCCCTTTTAAAGAAAATTAAACCACATTAACTTGCATGTAATTCTTCTCAGAATGTAGTGCTTCTTCTCCATGTGCCTTCTTTGAATTTGAGGACTTCTGTTTATTTTTTCACTTAGAGTGAAAAATAGTTGCTATTTTGAAGCAGCAGATAAACGTGCTACCTTCTGATGAGGCAGTTTAATGACTCAGAGTATAAACCTTAAACAGAAGAGTGGAACAATTTTACCCCAAACTCCTAATATATGAACCACTCTTCAGTGAGCGGTCATCTTTTCCAACTCCTTGACTGTCTTGCAGCCTGATTTGATCTGCTACTAAGCTCCATTAGTAGACTAAACAATTCCTTTCATCCAAAATTTCATGGTGGTTTAGACTACAGAAAAGTAAGAGAAAATCTAGATAAAGACAGATAGTAGTGAAATGTGGAATGGGTAAAAGCTGATCATGAAAAGAATATACATTAGGAGGTATTTTCATTGTACTATTTTGAGGAGCAATAAACAAGCAAGTCAAGACAAATAAAGTGGAAGCAGCATACTGAAAGGGCAGCTAAAGAGAAGGATTAAGCTCAAATATAAGTTCTGTTTTTCTAAATTTGCACAGTGGATAAAGGCTGCTCAGTTTGCAAAGTGTCTGTAAGTTAGCAAATCACATGATGTAGAACACCTCGTAGCAATTGTTTCAGCATGTCACTTTTATGCCAAAATTGTCTTTCTTTACAAAGTGTTAGTTGTGTTGATATATCTTAAACAGAAGTCTGTTGCAGTTTACTCAGAAAAGAAGCTTAAGGATGAAGAACATGTTGGTTCTTTATACTTCTGCAGATCCAGAATGAGGAGAGCGTTATTCTTTTTCTGGTCGTATGGACTGTGACAGAGATTACTCGATATTCCTTCTACACATTCAACCTGCTCAACCATTTGCCATACTTCATTAAATGGGCCAGGTGGAGATGTCTTGCACTTCAGTTTGTTGTGGTTCTGTGCATGTTAGTTCCACGCATGCTGAGCTAACACACAGGAGAGCAGATGTTTGAGCTTTGGTTATGTGTCAGCAGAGTGCAAGCTGGTTGCTTTCTGTATTTGAGATTATTGTAAGTCTGTTTAAAATGTTAAAAACAATTAGTTGATATTTTTGGATGTGATTTGTTCCTCACTTTCTGTGTCATGTGGTCTAAACTCTGTTTTAATTTACTTTCATATTTCTTCCTTATCTTTGGAGTCACCTTTTAACTTACAGTACGACTCCTTGAGATCCTTCTGAATGCAGTGCCTAAAATTAAGCACATATTAGTCTTTTAGACTTAACATCTTTGAAATAATGGGAGCCGCTGTCACTAATTTTAAATAAATCATTATTACTATATAAGAATTTGTGCTCTATCAGAGCTTTTGTAATGTTATATTAATGTAGTGAAGCTAAATATTGACACAGTTTAGCCCACGTAAAATGTGTGTTCTGTATCGAAACTGCTTTGGTCTTGAAACACAATTCAGTCCGTCACTATACCAGGTAAATTACAGACACTGCGTGCTTATCAGGAGATTTAACTGGAAGAATAACCATCTATGTAGATAGAGTTCAAGACAGACTTCCACTGTTAGAAAGAAAATACCTTTCCTATATTTGGCATGAGTGATATGTTCATTTAATGAATTCGTTAGCATCTCCTCCTTGCCTATGTTTTGTAGATAATGCGGTACTGATGCTTCTAATGCACTTTTTTAATGTGTCCAATGATTATGTCCATTCTTAAAATATATGATTGTTTTTGCTAATACTGAAGGTGGTAGATTTGGTAATGTCTAAGCAACAAATGTCAAACTTACAAAGAATCAGGTCTGGCTTCATTAATGATGTTTTTGTAGGCTTCAGAAGGAGAAATGCATTCAGAAATTACTAAATTAACAGTTACGCTTTTTGTCACCAAGTCAGTGGATCTTGAACGGTTGAATTTTTTTTTTTTTCATTATAATATACAATTCTGGGAGCTGCCATTCTCACAGCAGAGGTGTTTCGTGAAGTTTGGAAACAAAATGTTTGGAAATGTGTATCTTTTCATGGAGTTCAAAGTATCCTATCAAGATTTACAGAGAATCAGACTGCACAACAGAGCATAAATTCAGTATTCCCAAGGAGCTGAACTTTTTAAATCTTTAACTTATTTAATAATTTTAAAACATTTACCTGTCCACAGGCAATGGCAATGGTATGGGTATGATCTAAATGTTAGCTTAGGATATTTACTTTGTTGTTTTTTTTTCACTGTACAGAGACAGTCTCTGTATGTAAGTCATGGCAGTAGTGCCTGCCTATAACTCACGTACCTGCTCTCTGACCTGTGAATCCTCTAAGCCCATTGGCTTCGAAGAGGATTTCATGTTCAGCTACTACCATTTTGGATCACCTCTCTTTTGATCATGTAATGCACACTGGACATTTCTCACACACTCTATATGATGGCTCTCACTGCTGTTCCCCTGTGTGAACTTCAGAGCTGTTGCTTAGAATCTATGTGATGCACTGTGCATAAGGACAAAGAAACCCTGTTGATGACATTTTTTATTATGTCTACACTAATGTGACCTATGGCATTCAAGCCACATTTTCTCTAAAATCAGTGTGTTTGCTCTTTATTTGAACACGTTCTGCCTATTTTGAAATGGATCTGCTAAATTTTTGGCGCTCTCATTTTCCTTCATTTTTAATTTCCATTAATGGTTAATGTTGCTACTACCACTATTAGTGTTTCTACTACTACTTCAGTTTCCCATGTGGCAATTGGTAAAACAGGCTTCTGATATTTCACCATTTCCAGTTTCTTCAAATAAATTACGATACATAGCACTGACACAATGTGTGTGTGCTGTGGCAAGGATGCATAGCACTGACTGGATTTGGGATCCAGTTCTGCTCTTAGTCCTCTCTCTGACAATGGGAGCAAGATCAGTAAATAAAAAAATACATATTAAAAAAAAAAAAACAAACAAACAACAAAGAAACAAAAAAGACACCAGTACTGGAGAGTACAAATTTGGAGAATGATTTCTTAGTACAGGACAGACGTGCACAAATTCTGATATTCTCTATTTTTAAATAAAAAGATGTAGGGATGCATTCTTTGTAAACAAAAATAAGTCTATCAAAAGTAACTGAAGTTGTTATTCTGTGCCTTCCCAGGATATGGTTCTTGATTTTAGTGAAGGAATACTCCAACCTATTGCAATTTTTAAATTCATGAGGCATTTCTCACATGGTGTTTTTCTTTTTCTTTTTTTTTAATGCAGATACAACTTTTTTATCATTTTGTATCCTGCTGGAGTTGTGGGTGAATTGCTGACTATATATGCTGCTTTACCTTATGTCAAGAAAACAGGGATGTATTCATTGAGACTCCCCAACAAATACAATGTCTCCTTTGACTACTATTACTTCCTTATTATTGTCATGTTCTCCTATATACCATGTAAGTATTAGCTTTTGTATTAGCTTAAGTAATTAGCTTTAATAACACTAACAATGTAATAATCAATTATCAGCAATGCAGACAACGCAGCCTGCAGTTAAATTTCCTAGATGCTTTCTACTCTAAAAGCCTGCTTTCTGTTGTTCCAAGTGTTGCTGTGCTTTAAGTGTTTAAACCAAAATTTTACTTTCTGTTATCTACTTCAGAACATCTTAAAAGCTTCAGTGAAAAAAAAAAAAAAGTCTAAGGTCATAGATGAGTAAAAATACTTTTTCTTAATTACAGAAGTGTCTGTAGTTGTCTCCAAGGATTTCTAGTGCCTCTGCTGCTTTGAAGCAATGACTTAAAGATTTTCTTGCAAGACTCAGACATTCGCCTTCTTTTTCTTGCTATTAGTATCCATTTATGTGTGAACTTTGAAAATCACCATTTGAGATACTTTGGAAAAACATGAAACAAAATTCTCCAAAATTTCTGCATCAGAGAAATCCACACCTTGCCTCAAAAAACTTCTCTGAATGTACTTCAGTCCCATGTTTAACTAGATCTTCCTCAAACCCTGATACCAGGAGCCACCACAGATCAGTTGCCTAACCTAGAGAGACCGTCTGTTTCTAATTTCTGCTGTTATTCTCTCTGTCAGCCAAACAGTGCAGACAAGGAGAAAGCAACTTAATTTAGATATAGCGCAATGACTGCTAGAATGAAACTAGAACAAACTGGACAAGCAAGTAGAATTATTTTAGTCATTCTGGACTATGAGGCTAGAAATAAAGGAAGAGATAAGGGAGGGGCGCTGAGGAGAAGGAAAACTGAAGTTAGAAGGAGCTGTGTTGTGCATCTATAAAATGTATTCCTTCAAGAAACTGACTAAAAATTCTGGACTTTGACTGTATGGATACACAATATGAGGTGTTTTTTTTATTGTTGTTATTTTGGGGTTATTTTTGCAAGAAACCATGGAGGCCAGTGAGAGAGATTTATATGAGTAAGCAAAAGTTATGATAACTTACTAACAGTTTTACAGTTGTCTGCATAACTTCATGCTTCAGGAATAAGTCCAGTTTTCTATGCATTAAAAATGATCAAATGAATCAGAAGAAAGGTAATACAGTAAGGCCAGGAGAAGGACAGAGCTTTTCATACTTGGACAAGTAGGGTAAATTTGGATCCTCCTCAAAATTTATGTTCAAACATTCTTTCCTTAGAACAGGTTTGAAGACTTCAGGCACTGCTAAAAAATGGTTCAAACAAAGAAAATTTTGAGGGAAGATCCATGAAAACAGTATTCCTTCGGAGGGCTTTGTCTGACTTCTGAGTAATTACTGTTGCAAACTCACTGAGAAATTCATGACTCATTTGCCTTGACCAGCTATGGCACATCGTGCTGTAATTTTTACTTGGTTCTTCATTCTGAAAAAGTGTATTTTTCCATAATGTGATCTGCTGATTTATTTTTTTCATCTAATTTGCTTTCTTTTATGCTTTGATCAAGTATTTCCACAACTCTACTTACACATGCTGCGGCAGAGAAGAAAGGTGCTTCATGGAGAAGTGATTGTAGAAAAGGACGATTGAATCGAGCCATGTAATTATGGTGCTTTTAATGGAAAAACAAGGGTAAAAAAACAAAACTTCCTGTGATTTTTCTGAGTCCAAGTTTTGAAACATGGAACAAGAATAAACAACTGTGTATGAAATAACATGGACTGTATTATTTATGCCATTAATATATCATCAGATTACCTTTTCATTTCTGGTTTAACTTTGATTTTTAATTGTTTATTTCTTCAAACATATTGTTTTCTTATTTTCAATAGGCTGACAAATAGCTTTAACAAATTGAATAGTTGGCTAATGTGCTTTCTATTGTGAAAGGCTTGTTATGACCTGTAATCCTCATCAAGAACAGAAGGAGAGTTGATGAGCTGTACTGAAAGCGTATCTTCTGGAAAACAGAGCATAAACTAGGTAATGATGTGTTTCGTAGACTAGGGGGCTTAAATGTTATTTAAGTTGTACTTTAAATTATACCTTTACAGTTGTAAGTACTGTTAGCGTGTTGCTCAACATTCTTTGAATTACAAGATCACACTATAGAATTCCAGAAGGATTTTTGACAGGAGGTGAATCCTTGACTGTCACTGCAAGTTTGGATCTCTCTGTATTTTCATTTCTAATTGAAAAGAAATGTCAAACAGTAGATACAGTATTATCTGATTGAAAGCTTATGCTGAGGAGTGACCATGACCAGTCTTTCCATGGTCAGTGGCTGGAACAGGAGTCATATGCAGAGGAAGACTCATTGTCAGCATGCTTCCTATTCTACTTTTAATTATATTTGCGGAAAAATGATGGTATGGCATTTAGAACCTGTAGTTATAGTGAGATATTTTTACTTCCCATAATTAGCTAAGAGGCAGAAAATATATTTGAAATAGTACCTTAAAATATAAACTGTGCTTTGAATCATACCATCTTGTAATTTTAATTGCTCCCTCCCCATTAATTGTTTATAATGGAATTATGTAATGCTAATTAACATCCTCAGTAATATGCAAGAGGTTCTACAGCATATTAATAAACGTTACAGATGACGCTGTATGGTACCTGAGTGGGAGAAGTCCAATGAATGGATTGTATATAGGCAGGAATTGGACACCACATAAGAGAACCAAAGCAAACATGATGCATTTGGGGAAATGTGGATACTTAGTGAGAGAGAGAGAAGATTGAAAAGTAATAATGTAATCAGAAGACTTAATGGAACAGGCAACAATATTGCTTCCAGATTCAGTGATGTCAAAAGAAGAGGACGTTACATGCAGAAGAGGTGCATCAGGCAGCTGGAAATCAGAATACTCCTGAGACTGCTGAGGTCATTTCTAGAGTACTGGTTTATATTTGGAGTAGCTTGGGAGTGAGGACTAGAGTCAATCTTCAAAGAAAAGATCAGAAAATGGAAAAAAAAAAATTAGTTGAAGTATGAAGGAAGGCAGAAAGGTTGAGACATTAAGTATGTATAACTTCTTGTTGTGTGACAAATACAAGTAAAAAGAAGAGACTTTGTTAGTGTGAAAGTGTAACTAGAACTGATTATATATCCAGTGAATATCAGGAGAAAGATCCTACCAGAGAAATCAGTTAGGTTACAGAATGATGTGGTAAAGCTTATCCATGCGTACAGTTTCTTGGAAGATTTTAAGTTACATGTAATCCAGTACTGGAAAATAATGTTTCTTTGGAGGAAGTTTGTATTACATACTTGAATAGGCAGTTTCCATTTTTAAAAGCGTCAATGATTCTACAGTGGTAGAACTTATTTTGAAAACTGAAGATACATGTTTTTTTGATGCATCTGGTAATTTGATGAAAAAGGAAGGATTTACTAAATCCTGAAGTCTCAAATTCCATTTTGTGCCTTAAATTTTTCACACTTACATGTCTTCTTTACATGGAAATTAGATTTCTTTTAAATGATAGTGTGGACTTGAGATGCAATAATTGTATTCCTTAGCATTTTAAAAGGCATAATCTTTATATTTTTAGAACAAAGGTGCTATGAGTTAACTTACTACTTCTCAGTTTTATATGTAACTAAGTATTTAAAGTTTAAAATATAAACCACATTTACAATACTGATTAGCAAAATACTTGTGTTACACGTTCAGACTAGCAGTTGTATTTGTCCCAAGTTCTTAGAATACAGTTTTATAAACTTTACTTGTGTTTTGATCCATGAGGAGCAAACGTTGTGGCACTTTTTAGAAATATTTCTCAGCAAGCAGAAGAGTGTGATGAAATAGGAGTAAATGCAATTAGATTACGTGTCTCTTTTTTTAACTGTCAGGGCAGCTCACTGAAGACCATAGCTATCAATTTCTTGAAAATGCATTGGATACTTTCAGTATGTGATTTTGAAATCTTTTATTGGATGAGATACTCTTTCTGTAATAACAGGAATACCTGAGCTATATTACGTTTGTTTTCATTGTGGTTTAAGGCTCTTATCATATGGCAATCTAAGATCTATTTTTATATCTTTTTGTATATGAAAAAATACAGCACTGTTTGCTAAAATCTTTTTCACAAAGCAACAGTGTAATGATGGAACTTAAAAAGTAATTTACAACTACAGCAACTCTTGGTAAATGATTCTTGAATAAAGCTAAAAATTACTTTTACTGCATTCAGTGTTGCATAGATTGAGAGAGAGATTGTCATGTAGATTAGTTTTCCTGTCATGGACTTCAAAATAAAAAAAATGAATCATCATCTTTTCTTCCTCTTCTCTTTTGATTGAAGTCTGCACTGAAGCCTCAATGTATACCTTTTGCTTAATATGTCCTCCAGTGTAGTGAGAATTCTGAGTACAGTCCTCTTACCATTGACTTACATGGGCCATGATCTTATCCTGTGTAACTTACTTAAACTTCAGTATAACACCATGAAACATTTAATTAGCTTGTTCAGTGGACATAAAAATTTAAGTATGATTTTCATATGGTGCTCTCTTTCCAGCTTATTGTTGCCACCTACCTTTTTTGTATTTCTCTCTGCAATATTCCTTGTTTTCTAAAGCATTGAAATCCTCCTGTGTATGAAAGATTCGTGTGTATTCAAGCATCGGTGTCTATAATGTTTTGATGTATTCTTTAATAAAATGTTTGTGTAAAGGTATTTTCTTACTTGTGCTGTATAAGCCTTCTGGAATGGATTAATAGAAAGTATGTCTTTAAGGATGTTTTTTTGTTTGCTTGTTTGTTTGTTTTCATGACAATACATAGGAACAGGGCTTTGGAAGTGGATTCGTAATTATCAGGTGACATTTCCTATTATTTGGTGGTACCATAGACATAAACTCCAGCTGAAAACTTTTGGATTTCTTCAGGTTCCCTTCAACTTTCACTGGGAAAGGCTGTTCCAAGACAGACTGAGTGAATCACCTCATTTCACAGCTCTGCCCTGCACGTCTGGAAGCCAAGTCCTGACATCAGGATATGGCTGGTACAAAGGGGTATAATGTTGTGAAATTGCATCCTGCACATTAGCTGCCAAGAGGATCAGTGAGGCTGTTGTGAACAGCGGTTAATATGCGTCATTTCTCTCACTTCTGTCTGTGCAGGATTTGAGAAGAGAGGCAGCTAAACATGCTCTCATGCCTTCTGCATAAGGAACTAATGGGATCGGCTGAGGGGATCTCTGTGCACAAAGGGTGTGTTACAGAAAGGTTTTGTGCTTCACTCAGCTGTTCATATCTGCATCTATAACCATGTATTTTTTTGAATTACTGGTATTCCAATACAGTTATATCACACTGCTGTCAATAAAATGGCTCAAAACTAACAATCTTGGGTAAATTGTGCAGTATGCTTCTTCTCAGCCAGGTTCATGATTGCCTAGTTAACAAGGAATTAACAAGGAATGGAGACCTTTTCTGTGAGCAGAAGGAAATTACCTTTTCTTATCCAGAAATAAATATATGCATTTTAAATATGCATTTAAGGTCTAGCTACTGATCTGACTTGCACTCTTCATACCAGCTTACCTTAGTGGATATTTGGATCTTTCACTGATTATTAAATAGATTAAAATGAGAATAAATTAGAGCCATTACAATAAACTGTGGTTTAAAGTAGCTGCTTTATTAGCAGTTTTTGTGAATCAAGTCTTTGCTTCAAGTCTTTGCTTAATCTGTGTTAGAGAAAAAAGGAAGGAAAATTAATACAAGTGTACAGGTAAGTATTCTGCACAATACAGGGAGGCTTCATAAATTGAAATTTCTATGCAGGCAATCTGTCTGCAGTTCCTTATAAATGATTGGTTAAAAGGGAAAATTAAATTTTATTTCAAGACACGTTTTAAAATGTGTTTGAGATAATGTATTACTTGTGAGCAGTTTACAATTCACAGTGAACATACATTTTTATAGGTGATTAACTGTAGCCCATTGCAGTGTTTTAATCTATGTTGTAATGACTATTTTAGAAACAAATACCTTACGTTTCTGCAAAGCCCTTGTGTTCCCTTGCTGAAGTTAACTTCAGTACTAAGCTTTGCAGGGCAATTGAAATGGCAGGTAAGCATCTGTCAAGAATAGTTCCTGGAACTTTCACAGTAGCACACCTTAATAGTGTATGGTACTTTTGGTTCAGTGTCTGGTATTGTAAACCACTGATGGAGGAGCTTTTATGCCTTCAGTAGGACAGAAAGTTTTACAGATCTTAATAAGTGATTCATCCTTATTGCTAGATACTGAAGACTTATCCAGTGAATTCTTAGGTCACAGTAGTGAATAAGTGTAAAAAATGAACTTAAGTCTGTAAGGCAAACTGTAGAGAACTTGAATGTTGGATAACTCTAGCTGTCTTATAGGAACTTGCTGTCAAGATCAAGTCTGCAGCTGCTAGTGCTTTTAGAGTTCTAAAATGAAAATGCATACTACTTTCTCACATTGTATCAGCTGAAACATTGTCTTTTTGTTCACAGTTCTCTTGCTGCTCTGTTCAGTTTTGAATGTATTTTATGTCCTTTCAGTTGATGGCTTTGTAAAAGTGTAAGTACAGAAATATTTATCTAAATGTATCACGTGTGGAATTGTACTTAAAGATTCTTAAAAGTGTAAATGCACTGCAGCTGCTCATTATTGTTATTTTTCCTGCAATATGTTATTGTTAGCAGTTTACACAGACAGGAAAACACACAGTATGATACTTTTAGTAACTTATTTATTTGCAAATATCATAAGATTTGTTGAGCTAGAGATTCAGATATTTGTTTTAGAGATTGTTAACACTATAGCACTGTAGAAATTCATCATCAATTAAAAGATGTTTAAAACTGTGTTCTATTTGTTTGGTACTTTGTGTTTTTTGTGTTTGTTTGTTTTGTTATTGTTGTTGTGATACCATGTAAAATCAGTTCACATAGCAGTGAAGAGTATTATGCCAAACTGATACCTGTTTACGAATACTTTTTTTCCTTTGTATCTGGAATTATTTCACAAATCTTGAGATCTCAAGCCTTCTTTTTATGTTGAATTGTATTCCATTAAAATAGGTAAACGTGGATAGTAGATTGGTTTCACTTCTCTTTATCAAGACAGAACAATGTAGGGCATTAAAAAAGGCATATAGCCTTTTATAGTCAGTGTGTGTGAAGACAATTGCATTGCAAGGGTCCTGAAATAGGTATTACAGTAATGGATATTCTGATGTTTTGGATCAGAGCTTTTTGTGGTATTAACCTTTGAAGGTGGAGGCAGTGAACATCTTCTGTGTGTCCTTTGCTGCATGAATAACAACGACATTGCAGTAAGAAGGATTTTGTTGCCATGACAGTAATATAAAGCAGTATGTGAGCATTCACATCTACCTCTTTTGAGTTAGGAATCAAGTGGTTGTAACCCTGAGGACTTTAACTGCATAGAAGAGCTAAATCCTGTTAGTCAGTTATTGTAATGAAGACTAAGATCTCCTAATCTGAAAGTTGCAGAAGTAGACTCTAATCTTTATACATTTATAAGACAGTTTATTTATTTGTCCTGGCCCATATTGAAGCTAAACCAGTCTGATTTCTGCAGAAGCAAGTGGAGCAGTGTCTGCTGATCTCAACGGGAGCATGATGGGACATAATCATTTGCAAATACTGTATAAATCTAGATTCAACAAGAAATTGTAAGCAGTAGCTTCTTTGTTAGCACCTCCTTGAGAGCACGTGCTGTTGCACGGTGGTTCACCTGCCTACAGCTTTGCAATGTGAACCAGTCACTGGTCCCTGTGGAATGCACCAGAAGACCAGAAAATCTCCAGCAGTACACTGCTGTTGCATTACACCAATCAGTGGAGTCATAGAATCTTCCTTCATATATCTGCAGAAGTATCTTTTATTTCTGAAATTAATTTAGGACCAATGACATATCTAATTAAAAATAGGCAGGGTAGATCAGCCCTCACAGCTGCTTTGACATTCCTGGCTTGGAATGCTGTCACCGAGCAACTTTGATTTTCATATGCAGTCTCTTGGCGGTCTCTGCTCATACTGCACTCATAAAATGG